GCTACGGTAGCCAGCATATGCACATGTAGGGTGGGACTAGGATATATAGACAATCAGCCCCATTAAGTTATCTAAGTAAACGACTGTTTGTATATAGTAAGACTAAATCAATGAATTAAATAACTGATATCCAGCTATGTTCTTGCTTTCAAACTTGCTTATCGAAAACGCTCAATTCAAACCAACATTAGAATAGGTTTGGAACCAGGTATAGTTTTTCTTAGAACTATCCAATTTTTCTACAAAACCCATATGTCTTGGATTATAGTAATATAAAGACATCGCAAGCAATAAGACAGTATAAGGCGCCAAGCTGGCACATGTGAGCAAGTTAAACAGCAGATAATAGCAGATAACAAAGATTGTGAAGCAGACGAAAGGACATACCAGAAGCAATAAAATTATAAAATAGATTCAAGCAATTACCAAATTAGACGAAGAACCATCAAACTAGGTTTGGACAAGCTGAGATTACCTCTCTGTTCTTCTTTCAAGCGAGAATGATAAGCAGAGAAGGAGTAGGATTAGTTGCTCAATAGCCAGCAGAGGCGGCTATAAGAAAATTATCATCAGTCTAGACCTGCAGAGCCCTAACATCAGTGAAGATCATGGTGAAGAGAGGTAATGCAGGTAACCAGCGTAATAACATGTCTATACCAACACCTATCTCTGCGAATATATAATGAGTACAGACAAGACAATGAAGCAAAAACCAAGAAGGGAGAATAAATCATGGGTTTGCTCTACTGAAAACTTACCAAAGAGTTTGTCGGGAATCAAGCAAAAACCAAGAAGATCAAATGAATGTCTGCAAGAAAAATAACCAGAAGATTAAAAATTCTGAAAAGAAATCGTGTGAGTGAGAAACACAAACAAAAATAAAATTGAAGTGAATGCTGAATTTGAAACCCTATAGAAACAAACCTATCCTCTAGCACTGGTATTGAAGATAAATTCTTAAACATGAGATCTTAAGGCCTTAGAAGATGCACAAAACCAAGTGTCACAATTTAGCTCAAAGCAGAACAACAGTTTTCAAACAAAGAGATACGAGTCGTCTTTTCTCAGCTCTACGCATATAACTCTACAGTAGCGTTGACTTAGACAGAGATGTGAGCTTTGCAACAAGCTCGATGAGGTCCAATTACTAAAACGAAGATTCACGCCATAACATTTTGCAGGTCTCCCAAAAAACCCCATGATTCAAGAAACAACTTAAAATTACGATTACATCACGAATTTACTCTGAACGTCATGCGAGACAGATCCAATTCCAATTTAGGGATTGGTGTTAATTTGGTCGGAAAGAGTCGAGCGAAGCAAACCCAACATCACTGAATCCGAGCAAAAAAAAAAACCCACGAAAGCA